AGACTTAAGGATACCCTGTAAAATATATTAAAATATTTGTAAATATTTTTAAAGCTTTAAAATTATTTAAAAAAATATAGAAAAATAAGACAATATATAAACAGAAAAATATTTAACTTAACTTTTGAGAAGAAAAATCTCGAAAATTTAAGGTTAAAATCAAGTAATTTTTATAGGACACTTGAGGATACCCTGAAAATAATATTAAAATATTTTTAAATATTTTAAAAGCCTTAAAATATATTAAATATACCCAGAAATCCCTTAAAATCAAGTAATTTTTCTGCCTCGGTATCCCCTACCTTCCCAAAACTTAATATTGGGATTTGAGAATACCCAGTAAATTATAGAAAATATTTATAAATAGTTTTTAAGCTTTAATATACTTTAAACTTTAATTTTAACTACAAAAATCCTTTAAATTGAAGCCTAAAATCAAGTAACCTCCCTCTCAAAACCTAATATACCCTTCCAAAAAAAAGGATCTTGAGCTTGGCCTGGCGGTGCAAATGAATGGCAGCCCAGCAGCCGCTTTATGAATGGCCACAAAAATCCACTCAAAGGACACACCCACTCCAAAACACTCGCTGACTCGTCGTCGTTGTCGTCGTTGCTACTCCGCTGTCTGGCGGGGATTCCCTCTAAAATAGCAGTAAAAAAAAGAAAGAGAGAGAGACAAAAAATTTACGAAAAGAAAAGAAATTAAATGCACTTCCTTTATGCGCGAGAGCTTCTCTCATATTTTCCAAGCCCAGCCTTCCCTCCGGGGGCTTTTCCTCGCTTTTCCACTCCCACGCTAATAATGGAAGTGCACTTTTGACACAAAAGGTGCAGTGGCGACAATGCCGGGCGGGCTCCGTTTTTGGGAAGGTCCCTCCTCCTTCTCCTCCTCCTTGCCAGCAGCCTTTGTTGCCTTTATTGCTCATTCGCTGCAAGGGCGATTAGTTGGGTGGAAAGGGGAGGGGGGAGAGGAAAAGCCAAGCCAGATTAGAACATTTTTGCGGCATGGCTTTCTCTCCTTGGGATAAATGCCTTTTATTGCCTCATAATTTTTGAGAGTGCCCTTTGCCGATAATGCTGATTACGTTTGGCTGATTGAAAAGATTGAAAAGCAGAGGAAAATGTCTACAAATATTCCCTTTTTTCTTAATGGAAAATATTTCAAAACTAAAATGAAATCCTAAACCCACAAATTAACACTTTTTTTTGGCAAGAAAATATTGCTCATACGTAGGTACATACATTTTGTGGGTCTCCCTCTCCTTCTCCTTCTTTTAGTTAGCAACAAAATCAAAGTGAAAAGCGTTCTCATAACCAAATCAAAACGAAACGAATTGAAACGAAGCAAACAAAATGGGAATATGTGCTGAAGACATTCAAGTGTCGGTGGCGTATGAGTGATTTACCTGGAGGGAAAGGGAAAAGGTGAGTGAGAGGAGCAGGAAAAGGTCTTAAAAAGGCAGGAAGGCTGGAAGGCTGGAAGGGGAAGGCTGGGCTCCTTGGCCTGTGCTGCCAGTGCAGTGCAAATAAATCAAATAAATAATAAATGAAACGAAACGAATCAAATGCGAAATAAAAATCAATGGCACTCACCACTTCAATGAATTGGAATTACACACACAAAGCAAGAAGTACAGTGAAGCTAAAGAGGTGGGAAATATATTTTAATGAGAAAGGGATGTTTTCTAAAATAGATTTACAATTTTCTACTTGTATTAAAAATAATCAAAATATTTTTAATAATATTTGTGAAGCTGTTGAAGCTTGTAAAGTATTTTAAAATGTGTAAGGAATATTCTAAAAAATGTTCCACCATTTTCTTCTATTTTAAAAATAATAATAATAATATTTTTAATAATATTTGTAAAGCTAAGCAGCTGAAAATATATTTTAAAATGGAAAATAAATATTCCATAATATATTTCCACAATTTTTTGCTAATACAAAAAATAATAATAATATTTTTAATAATATTTCTTATACCCAAAAACTTTAAAAAATAAGCTTGTTCACTCCACCGAAACCTCACTGTACTTATATCCTTGCAATTTGCTTTTCGGTTGGATTTCAAATAACATTTTGCTTCATTGCATCAAAATTGAGGCAGGAAAACCCGAGACCATGTGCGGGAAATAAGCAAAAGGAGTGCCTGCACTCGAAAAAAAAAGCAAAAAAAAATTGAAAGAAAAGTAGAAAAACCTAGAGAAACATACAGAAACGTAAGGAAAATGCCATGACTCGGCCTCGGACTTTGGTCAATTGCAATTAGAAGTCACTGAAGAAGCTGGCTTGTGCTCTCCAAGAATTCCAATGGGGTTTACCTCCCTATCCTCCTCCTCCCCCATGGCTTCACTCCTAATAAAAATGCAACTGGGCACATAAAACTCTGACCCAAATACTGTACATTATGTGTTTATGTGTCTGTTTGGGAAGCAGGGAAAAAGATGAGTGGGCGGAAAAGCTATAAAAAAAGCAGCAGCAGCAGCAGGAGGCAGGCGTAGGGGGTTTTTCAGAAATTGCAACACTTGAAAACTTGAAAATGTTTTCGAGAACTTGCGCTGGCACAAAAGTTAAAAGAGGCCAACCTGCAGCAGAGTCCTCTCTTGGGTGGACTCGCGGTGGAAAAAAGGGGGGAGGGAGAGCACCTGAGGGGGACACACTCCCTCTCTGCCCGATTCCTGGCCGAAGCTCCTGCAGTAATTAGTGCAAACAATTGCGCTCGTTTCCGATATCCTTGGCAACTTTTCTACGCTCTCGCCACCGCCGCCGCCTCCTGCTTTGAAAATGGGGGGAAGGGAAGACGCTGCGGCATTTTGTTTCAAGAGGGAGGAGAGGGAGTTTCAGCCAGAAAAATAAAATATATATAAAATATATGCGGGACAATGCCAACCCCCTCGATGTTTTTCCCATTTATTGGAAATATGAAGCATATTTCGTCCTCGACTTTTGTCATAATAAATTGGCAAACTTGAAATCGGATATCGGTCCATTGTTGCTGGTTTTTCCTCATTTTTTTTCCATATTTTTCTTTTTGGGAAAGTGACAAAGAAAAAGGCGGGCGGTTGGTTACCATAGTTTCTTTCACCAGAAATGTGCGCTCATTAAATGGAAATGTAAATGGAAATGAAAATGAAAATGATTTTGGGTCGCGCGCAGCTGCTCCCCATCGATAGACAGATAGATGATGATAGTGAAGTGCCGTCCGGGGGTTAAACGTTTGCCAGAGGACACTGCAAGGGCAACTGCCTCCTTCACTTTGCATCTCGATTCGTGGAAAGTATCGCATTTCCAGCGACCGACAATCGATTTGGTTATCGGTTCAATGAATGCCGTTTTTTTTATTTCCACAGCTTCTAACTTGTTTTACTCTTCGCTTCTACTTGTCTTCGTTTTGTGTTGTGTTTTTTGGTTTTACTTTCTCATTTTGGCTTTTCAGTTGATCTTTTGGCCTTGTTGTTACCGTTAGCCGCATCTATCGAATATAAATCGCAGGAAATCGCAGCAGCAATCGATATATGTGCCAAATATATCGATTTGAATTTTTCAACTACATAGTTTTTTTCCTTAATAAATTAATGTTAACTATTGCATGCATTTTGACTATGTTTACATATCGATTGGTGAAAGTGTGGGTGAGTGGGTGAAGTTATCGATAGGCCATAGATCATTGATTTAAAGTGACTAAAAAAGGAAGGGTTTTGAGTGGAACATAATTCATTATCAATAAAAATTGCATTTATTTTGATATTTATCGATATTATTGATATATTATCGATATATTGATATTTACTTATCGATTTTAATACAAGTTTCTGTAATAGTTTTAATGCCATTCTGAAACCGATTTAGCCTTCGATAACATACACCCACCAATCGATAACCCATCAATCGATGTCTGTGCACTTCACTCCCCCAGCTTCCCCAGCATTTTCCCCGTACCAGAATTCCCCCTTTTGGTCTCGCAGCTTCCATTTAATTCCGAAAACCAACTTGAAATTCTGAATGAACTCGCTGAGAAATGTTCGAAGAGGATTCGATAAATATATATATATACATACATATTGGCATTCCAAGACCCCCTTTCCCTCCGAGCTGCTGCGTGCCACTTGCACTTGCACCCTGCCCTCCGGCGGAAAAGGACGAAGAGGATGTCCTGTTCCTGCTCTTCCCGCCAGCTTTCCCCCTTTTTTTTTATCCGTAGCTCATTGTTGGACACACACTCATCCACACACTCACTCTGAGATACAGACACTGGCGAGTTGCAATAATTGAATTACCCAAAGCCGGGCAAACACTCTTTCGAATTCCCCTAGGAACTCGCACTTGAAGATACAGAGATACGCAGCAGTTGCAGCTGCAGATACAGATACCGATACAGATACGGATACAGATACAGATACAAAGTAGCAAACTCTGACAACTCTCATCCCCATCTCATGCTCTCTTTTCCCCATACTATATATATACCCCCCCAAAACATATGCATTCGAATACAAACGAAACATAGCTATATAGAACCACATTTATATATATATATATATAAAAATATAAACTTTACTTATATAAATATTTCATATTTCTTGAAATTATTGCATAACTTCTTTTCGGTTTTTGTGTCCTTAGAGCCAAGTGCTGAGAAAACAATATCGAGTCTCGCTTTTCAGTTTTTTCCCCCATTCTCTCCATCAAAATACATACAACAAAACCAATGCTCAATGTTTTCTTCTTCACCTTTTATCAGAATGTATGATTTTCCACCACAAAACTAAATTAGAAACCAACAAATAAAGAAAAACAGAAAAACAAAGACAAAAAAAAAAGAGAAAACAAAGAAAGAAAAAAATAAAAAACTTGAATCACAAATATTGCCTTGTAACTAACTCTTGAATTTTTATCTTTTGCAAACCCAAAAAAAAACTCACTCCAAACAAAAATAAATCAAATAAAATCCCCACTCAAACTTGACAACCCTGTGGAATGTGACTTGGACAACCCTGCAGTCGTGTTTCGGTGATGCGAGGACAAGTGATCACGCCCCAAGGACTGGGCATTGTGGGCATACGCGTTTCCGTGGATCGTGATTCCCGATTTGGCTTCACTCTGACACGTCAGGGAGGCTGGTGAGTACTGATTTAATTTATATATTATAATATATATTTTAGAAATTCAGTTTTTTCATTAAAATATCAAGCGAGAGAGCCCATTAATTCAGGGGATAATAAGTACAGTCATTTCAAAGCGTAGTTAGGTAATTAAAGGGATTTTTAAAATATTAAAAATAATAAGTACAGTCATTTCAAAGCAGTATAATGTAGTTAATGATATTTAAAATTTTTTTTTTTAATATTCAAAATAATAAGTACAGTCATTTCAAAGCATTTTAATGTGTTTAAAGTGATTTAAAATTTTTTAAAAATATTAAAAATAACAAGTACAGTTCATTTCAAAGCATAATAACGTAATTAAAGGCAACTAATTTAATTTTTTTTATATCAAATAATTATTTTTTAATAAAAAAAATGTAATTAGCTGCCTTTAAGTCCTTTTAAAAATTTTTAAAATTACTATTTACTTTTATCCTGTAATCCCCTAAATTAGTTGGCTCCTTCGAGGCTTCACTGTACACGTGCATGCACACGCAATATTCGGTAAAGGCAAATTACTTCCGTATGGATGGGCTGCTCCTGGGCGCGGGGTACTTGAACTTTTTCCCTTGATTAAATTCTGCTGATGGAATCCGCCGATGGCCAAGAAAAAAACAAAATAATGAAAGTAGAAACAAAACAAGGCAGAAGACAGACAAAATATATAAGAAATAAAAGAAAATAAAAGGTGGATCGCCAAGGAAGTTATCAAAATTTTTAATTAAATCTTTCGCTTTGATGTTTGTCTCAAGTTTACACAAGTGGTTAGCATAATGAGAGGAGAGCAGCAGGGGCATCCTGCAGCATCCTGGAATCCTTAGCACTAGGACAATTGGCCAAAAGCCACCGCAGAAGCTGTAGTAATAGTAGTAGTGGTGGTGGTGGTGGTGTCTCTGAGGACATTAGTTTCAATTATTTGACATTCTATTCGAATTGCTTTTTAAGCACAAAAGCAACCGAGAGCTGCAAAGTTTTCCAGCATTTGCTCTAATTGAGCCCATCAAAGATGCATGGACGAAATATTTTCTCAACTGTAAAAGGATGTGAAGAGAGAGAGAGAGAGAGCAGGAATAGAAAACAGGACGAAGAAACATAGAAGAGTTGGCCAGCCCAGCCCAGCAATCCAATATATCTAATATAAATATTTTTCCAGTTGTTTTTTTGCTTTTTGTAAAAAGGATTTCCGTTTGCTGCCATCAGCAACATTGTTTGCTGTCCTTGTTGTTTTGCCATTTTCCTTTTTCCTATCAGTATGTGTGTATGTTGTGTGTGTGTGTGTTGGCCAATTTAAATAAACATTTCGCACCCGAGTCTCTCTGCCTGATTTTATTATGGCCAAGAGCTCGGGAATATAAACAAAATCTGTGCAGCAGACAGACAAAACTCCAACTGTCTGATGATTATTTGTGTTTGCACACACACTGCCTTTGTTTATTTCAATTTTGCAAATATCCAGGTACTATATATATGTGTGTTTGTGTGTGTGTTTCTGGGCCAGAGATAAAAGCTAGTTTCAGGACACTGCATTACATTTTTACCTCAATGCGGCCCTAATTTCTCATTAGGCCAATGGCCGGAGCTGCTCGAATTTGAAGCTGAAATTTTAGAATTTAAATACCTCAAAAATAATAATACTTTTAAAGAATTTATTGAGCTGTGGAGAGAGATCCTTTGCTCTTTAGACGCTTACAGGATATTTTAGTTTTATAAAGAATATTCTAATTTAGGGAAGGAGTTATTTTCGAAAGCCACCAATAGTTTTGGCTTGGACTTATCTTCAGTTAGAGGACACTTGGTTAGCTGTCATTGCCTCGCCGCAGACTTGGCTGAGATTAATCGCTGATTAACTCCTTCGATTTCAGAGATTTTTGGTGATTTTGCTCGATTATTATTATAATTAGCATAATTCCATCGAATTGGCACTTTTCCCCAGTCATCCAGATGGGAGAGACAGAAAGAAAACACACGTCAGCGTCTGAAAGCGGAGCTGAGAGCGTAGCTGAGAGCCGAGCTGAGAGCGGAGATGATAAGCTCAGATTAGCTCTCAGTGTGTGTGCTCTCATACAAGCAGTGTGTGTGTGTGTGTGTTAGTCCCTCTGATAATTTTAGAGAAGCGAACGCCCACGCACATACACACACTGCTTCAAAGAGAGCGCGCACACTGAGAGCTAAGCAGAGCTTATCAGCTCCGCTCTCAGCTCAGCTTCCACACGCTAGTGCGGTTCTCTCGATCAAGCTCGCTCTCTCTCTCTCGATCAAGCGCTCTCCCTCTGGCTACCTATAATAGAGGCCGCTTAGCCGCTGCAGCTTCAGTCAGTGCGCGCTTCCCCTCGTGTTTACTCGTGACGTGAACCTCCCCAGCCGGCTGGATGACTGCGGAAAAAATGTCGCTTCGCTGGAAAAGTGCCGCTTCGCTGGAAAAGTACCGCTTCACTGGAAAAGTGCAAATTGATGCAATCGAAGGAGGTAATCAGCGATTAATCTTAATTAACTGTGCATCTTAATCCATCTGAATGACACCCAAAAAAGTTTTACTTCGCTGGAAATGTGCAAGCTATGATAATTATCGTGCAAAAACAACAAAAATCTCTGCAATCGAAGGAGTTAATCAGCGATGAATTCCAGCCAAGTCTGCGAAGCAAAAATGGAAGGCAAAAGAGTGTTCTTAACTGCGGGTAAGCCGTAAAAGCGATCGCGGTCGATCGCGTAGAAGCAATCGCAAGCCGAAGTTCTAACTTAAATTATAATACCCTTTCAAGGGCATGAAAAGGCTGAATTATAGAAATTAAAAGGAATAATGAAGAGTTTAGTAGGAAAATTTATTAAAAACAAAATTTTATAGAAAAACTAAAACGACTTCAGAAAGATTTCACAGAAATATAATTTATATAAACAAAAAATTATTGTGAAAGATTTCAAATTGCAACCTGCAAAGAAGGGTATTCAAAGTTTGGCTTGCCAATGCTAGCTTTCCTTTATGTTATTTATGCATTCTTATTATGACAACTTTGTTGTTATTTATCTTGGCCGCTGCTGCTGCTGCTCCTCCATTGTTGTCCCTCTCTTTGACGGGATTTTAAAGTTGGTCCTCTGTGTGTGTGTGTCCCTGTTACTTTTTATATTCCTGCTGTTGGCCTCCTTATTGCTGCGACTGTGACTGCTTTTGGTCCTGCCACTGCTGGCTGCGTGTGTGTGTTGGCTCGCAATAATTCCTGTTTATGTTCACATTACTTTTGGCTTTTTACACTGCCACAGGGTCGGGAGTTTATTTCTGAGAATTTTTAAAAATAAATCGTCAAGTTAAGGAGTTGGCTATATATTTTTTTTATGTTTTTAAAGGGATATTTAAGATTTTTTAGAATTTTTTTTAATATTTTAGAAAAAAAAATTTGACTTGAATTACTTCTTTAAATATATTTTAATAATTTAATATAAAATTAAAAATATATATAATTTAAAATCTGATTGATTTTTTATGAGATTAAAATTTTATTTGCTCTTATTTAAATATTTAAATTTTGTATTTTTTTTTTTTTGTATAACAAGAGGAGTTTTTCCAAATATTCTACAAAAAATAATAAGAAGGCTTATTATTCTTTTAAATTTATAAATTTATAATTTTTTTTTAATTTTACAATTTAAATTTATATAATATAAAATGATTTAGAAATTTCACTTCAAATCTTAGGTTTTTTTTTAATAAATTAAATTTAATTATATTTTTTTGTGCTTTTATTTATTAAAAATAATTATATTTTATTGGCATTAATTTTTTTTTAATATTCTAAATATATTTAAGGAGGCTAATTAATCTTTAAAAAATCCAAAATTGTTTTTATATAAAATCAGCTAAATCTTCCACTTAAAATCTAATGATTTTTTCATTAAATTAAATTAAATTTAATTTAAATTTTATTTTCCTGTGTACTTGTAGCATAGTTTATTTTGCAGGTATTTATTAGATTTATTTTTATGTGCGTTATGTCTTGTGCTGATGCTGCTGGTAGTACTATGCCGCATTATGCGGCCCAATGAGCAACAGTGTGTGTTGTTGCACCCCACCAACACCCTCCTCCTCCCCCCGTTATTTTCCACATGTGTGTACCGTTACCGTTACCCTCTTACTTTTGGCCTCTGCTGGTTCTCAAGCTTGTTGCAGGATTTTATGGTTTTGTATTTATAATGTTTATTTCAATTCTATGCTTTTATTAGCTACCCCGCACAGCAGCAGCAGCAGCAGCTCATACTTACATGCTAGCTAGCCACATTTTCCATTTTCCTTTTGGAGCTACTTTTCTTTCTTACGTTTCTTGTTGCGCCATTTGTTGGTCCTGCTTAATTTTTTCCAACTGCTGCTCCGCTTTCGCCCTCTGACATGCATTGTTGCTTGTTGTTGTCATAGTAATAAAGGTAATAAAAGTCATTATATTGTGCTGCAGGGGATTATTGTTGGCATTTTTTATAGCATAAGTATTATTCGAGCTTTGGCTGCCCCTTCGCCCTCTCCTCTTAGAAACGTATGTCTTCATGTGTTGTGTTTTCGGGTTGTTGCCTCCTCTATGAGGGGGGTTGGGAGGAGGAAAGCCACCACCCCCTAAAACCACCCACCAGGAGGAGCGCCAGCAGCGGCTGGCTTTTCGCTCTGGTCATGCTCATAAAATTCAATTCAATTACAAATGAATGAATGCAATGCCACAGCGAATGGTAGATGTGGACAGGCGAGGTTAAGGAAGTAGGGACAGGGGAAGTAGGAGGGGTTTTTTTTTATTATTTTTGGGAATTTTTTAAGATGAGTTTTCCAGGATTAATTTATAATTTTAGGAATTTTGAATATGAATTTTTTAAAATTAAATATTTGGGGAGGAACTATCAACTTTTTTAATTAATACAATTATTAGAGATATTTTATATGATTTTTTTTTTAAAATACAATTTTTAATATACATTTTTTATAACAAAATTAGAGCAATATAAATTAAGGTACAGCAATTAAGATGGGGAATTTAACATGATTTTTTCAAACAAAATTATAAATTCTAAATATTAAATTCTAAAAATTCGTATAAATAATATTTTAAATAAATTAAAAATGAGAAAAAGGTGCAAAAATTAAATGAATTAAATATAATAATTAAATGCTTTGTAAAAATTGAATTAATTTAATAAAAAAAATATTAAAAAATATATATATAATAACAAAATATGTAAAGTAAATATTTTAAGTAAAAAAACAAGTAGAATTTAAACAAATTTGAAGAAATGAAATTTTATTCTCAAAAAACGCTCATTTACTTAAAAAAAAAATTACTAAATTCATATTTAATTAAATTCAAGCAAGTTTAAAGTAAATAGTTTCCATTAATACCTATTATTTTGACCACAATTGTACCCTGTGCACTTGATGTGTATGCATGCGATAAAGGCGGCCACAGCAATAACAACAGGCGACGTGTGGCTGGCTGTGTGGCAAAACAGTAAAATTAAATTAGCAAAAATTGTAACAAATTTTACACAATTCCCCCCATAGCCATGCATTTGTTCTTTATCCTTTTTTTTCTAGATATTTTTCCTAGTTTTTTCTCCACGCTGTAGTTGTTGTTGTTGCGGCTGTGACCACTTTATTTTTAATGAAATGCATGTCCTTGTTTATGGACATGTTTATGGGGGCGCGCAGCTTTGGTCGCTTTGTTTACGAGGCAAATTCAATTGAATGTTTTGTCCTTTAATTCAGGGAAAATATCAGAAAGCATCGAGAGAGCCTGGGAAAAACAATTTTCCAGCCCCGAGAGCTATCTCTGTTGCACGCACACAAAACACAATTAAAAATCGCATTAATTAAATATATTTCAAAAGCAAAAGTTTTTCGCCATTTCTTGGAGTTTCTTCCTTCCTACGCAACTTGGCTTTGCCTGTGTAGCGCATTTTCCCCCCCTATTTTCCCCCTGCTCTCGGCTTGTTTTGGCCTTTTGTTTTCCAACATCTTCCTTCGTCTTGGCAGCCAAGTTTTGTGCAACTTTTCCCCGTAGCTGCAATGCGAATTTTCTCTTGTAATAATGGCAGAGTGGCGTCGGCAGCGGCGTCGTCGGCGGCCATCATTATATTTAATGCGGCTAACGCATGACCAGGGATGGGGTAACGCAGGTCCGGGCGGAGGTCCTGGGGGTCCAGTGGGCTTGGCCTTAACTTATGCTCTCTGCCGTCGTCGTCGTCGTCGGCATCTAAAGTTTTTCAATTTCCCACAAACAATTGAGGTATTATCTGGGGCTCCACCTTGGAATTAGATTGTTGTTCACAGAGGGGGGGGGTGCCAGGACTCTTTCCTTGTATCCTCGTTATCCCCCCTCGTTGTCCAATTCAATTCGCTTCAAGTTCATTAAAATATTAATTTGCATGTTTGCCCCGCGCAACTTTTGCACTAATTTCGTATTCCGTTTCATATTTGCCACCATCATTCCCCCCACTAATTTTCCTCATTTTTATTTTCCATTTTCCTTAAAGGTTCGATGTCTTGGTGAATGGCGGCGGTGCGGTGACCTTGCAGTTCCAACGCAGTCCCTTCAGGCCGCTAACGAGGACCGTGTTTGTGCCCTGGAACAGGATCGTTGTCCTGCCGCCGGTGCAGATGCAGCTGAGCGATGATGATGAGACCACCAGCAGGAATATCAAGTAAGTTTATATTACAAATTATTAAATTGTAACTCAAAAATCTTTATTTAAATCATAAAAAAACCTTCTAAGAACCCTTCTAATTTCCCTGAAATTTCTTTCATTTCCTCCCCAAAACAGAGTGGCTCCCTTGAATCCCGCCCTGACGTTCCTCAATTCGATCCACTACCACACGGCGGATGAGGCCAATGATGCCAGCAAGGTGTGCATGGATCATGATCATGAGAAGCTACGCCCTCAGCTGATCAGCACTTGGATGCCCAATGGCGTGGGGGCCATGCCCGGCAAGAGGGTCATCTTTGCAGAGACTCAGGTGAGTTGAAAAGTGTGTGTGTGTATGTATGTGTGTGTGCGCAGGACTCGCCCCTAATGCCATTCCTAATTAGCAGTCCTGGCAGCAGCTGCTGGACGCAGCGCAGTTTTAATTAATTTAAAGTTTGCCTTAATGACATTATAACTTTGCATCAAAGGAGCTGAGGGTGGGGGAGTGGGAAGGGAGAGAAGGAGGGAAAAATAAGGAGCAGAAGGAGGACTCCAAGGTGGACATTAATTCTCAGAGAGAATGAGAGCAAGAGCAAATCTCTTGGCGAAGCTCTGCTGGCCGGATTCGTAATGCGTTTAATTGCAGCACTCGAACCTGTCCAGCTGCGGTCACCGCCAGACACTTGCTTCTCCTCCTCCTCCTCCTGCTCTCCCTTTTCCCATTGGCCCTGCTCTGGGCAGCCTTTTCCCCCACTTTGAGTTAAAGTTTTCCCTGCAGAATAGTCACATAAAGGCCAAAGTTTACAAAGGTCACAACAGGATACACAACACAAAGAAAAATGCAAAAAAGGAAAGGCTTGAAAGTAAAGTTGTAAATAATAAACAAATTTAAAGCCAAGAAAGGGCATAATCAGGTGTATAGTCACAAAAAAATAAATAAAACAAAATGAAGAAAGTTACCTAGGTTGGTAACCCAACCACTAAAACCCACAAATATAACCTTATATATATTGTTAATAATTTTTTGATTTAATATATTAACTTGATCAAGGAATCAAATATCAATGTGTTAGCTTTTTTTTCTGTTTTAAGCCAAGTTTTCTAGATTCGATCGCTGCTAAGGCAGCTTTATATTTGTGTATAGGATAATAGTTTTGCCTCGCCGCAGACTTGGCTGAGATTAAAGGGTATAAAAAGGCTGAATTATAGGAATTAAAAGGAATAATGAAGAGTTTAGTGGAAAATTTATTAAAAACAAAAATAAAAGAAACAAAATTTTATAAAAAAACTAAAACTAACTCGGAAATATTCCAAAGAAATATAATTTATATAAAAAATATCTCACAAATACTTAAACGAAAAACATCATTTATATATAAACCAACTTAAACCTCACTCTTTCTTAGATTTCATTCTTTATTATTTTATTAATGTCTTTAAAAAAAGTAATTTAATTAAATTAATTAATTTATTTATTTATTTCATCCCTTTCCCCCTCCCACAGATCGTCCAAGAATCCATCCAGATACCCGGCTCGGACCTGCATCTCACCTACCAATCCTCTCAAGCCAGCGGCTACCTAAGCATTGTCCGTATGCGCCTCACCGCCGAAACCATACCGCCCACCCTCACCCACGTCCATGTGGGCGTGGAAATCGAGGGAGCCCTGCACGTAAAGACCTACGAGGCGGATCCCAGTCTGGTGCACACCTTCGCCTGGAACAAGCGCAATGTCTACCGCCAGAAGGTGTACGGCGTGACCGTGGCCCGAATCTCGGTGGGCTATCAGCACAGCACTTGCCAGTCGCCGGTTTGGATTGCCCAGACAGCCAAACTCCAGGGCTACGACGTGGACATTTCAGACATTGGAGGCTGGGGCCTGGACATCCATCATCACTACAACTTCCATGAGGGCATTCTCCAAAAGGGCGACGGTAGCACGCTTCACATGAAGGAATATCCGCGTACAGTAAAGGTGGTAATGGGCACTGGCCTTCAGAGACCCCTCACCTGTCCGGATTACTGCAATGGCGTGGCCAAGGATGCCAAGCTCTTGACACCCATTGCCCTGGCCACCGGCCCCGATGGCAGCCTTTATGTGGGAGACTTTAATCTGGTGCGAAGGATTACGCCCGATGGCAAGGTGTTTACCATTCTACAACTAAGCGCCACCCAGGTGTCATATCAATACTATTTGGCCGTCTCCCCGGCCGATGGACACCTGTACATCTCCGATCCCGAACGCCATCAGATCCTGCGACTGTTGCGCCTGGAGAAGGTCAAGGATCCGAGCATCAACAGCGACCCAGTGGTGGGCAGTGGCCAGCGCTGCATTCCCGGTGACGAGGGCAATTGTGGCGATGGTGGACCCGCCCTACTTGCCCGGCTATCGCATCCCAAGGGACTGGCCATTGCCGCGGACCGTACCATGTATATTGCCGATGGCACCAATATCCGTGCCGTGGATCCCAAGGGTGTGATACACACCTTAATCGGTCATCATGGACACCACAATCATTGGAGCCCGGCGCCATGCAGTGGCACTTTGATGGCCAACCAGGCGCAGCTACAGTGGCCCACTGGTCTGGCTCTTAGCCCGCTGGATGGATCGTTGCACTTCATCGACGACCGACTGGTCCTGCGACTCACCTCCGATATGAAGATCCGCGTGGTGGCCGGCACACCGCTGCACTGCAGCAACGGTGCTGGACAGGACGGCAGGGTCAATAAGACCGGTACGGACAATGTACTTGGCACCGTCCTGGCCATGGCCTTCTCACCGTTCGGGGATCTCTACATAGCGGACAGCGATTCCAGGCGAATTAACTCCATACGCGTGGTGGACACGGCAGGAAATATGAGATATTTTGCTGGCAAACAGGAGAGCTCGGGGTGAGTAGTAAAAGCATTTGTTTATATAACATTATTTTAAGTGTTTAAAAGATTGTCCGTTCGTCTGCTTGTCCGTTAAGGAGAGAACTGTGTTATATCTCGGGTTTTGTAAAAGGAAAAACTTTTAAATTTGATATATAGACTTCTTTTATAGTTAGAAAACATGTGCTTGAGGTTGTCCGTTCGTCTGCTTGTCCGTTAAGAAGAGAACTATGTTATATCTCGGGTTCTGTAAGAGCAAAAACCTTCAAATTTGGTATATAGACTTCTTTTAAAGCAAAGAAAAACATAAGTAAACTCGAAATATTCTAGTAAATTTATTCTATAAAAATTTGTTAGCCATTTTCTGAGATAAATCCCGCCTGGCTAAAGTACAAACCTCGCGTATTCCAATAATTCTTTGTCCTGACTGGGAATATAAATCAATAAAATGCGACCGTTTTCAGTGTCATTATGACATTGTTATCCCCACATGGTGTCAGAATAGAGACCAGCGTGATATTTGGTCCTTTGCCGACTTATCAAAGTGCACAGAAAATAAATAATTTGCCATATGTGTAGTTTGGAATAGCCGACGCCCGACGCTCGACGCAGACTATTGCATTCTTAGTTGTTTTATGCCCTCAAATATTGACTGGCTACTGGGTCAACATGGCAGGGAATTTGGTCAGCAGGCCGCTGGCCAAAACCGGAACCAGAAGGGGGTCGGTGGGGAGGTAAAAAGGGGAGGACAGGCGGTCAGGATTGACTCCACTCGGACTTGTTTATGCGCATACTTGACCCAATTAAGTGAGCTCCGGGCTATTTGCATATTGCCGAACGATATCAGCCAATTTTTCAAAATGTCTACCAAAACGACACACGGGAAACACAAAACGCACAGAAGGAGGAGGAGGAGGGGGGAGGGGGAGATGGGGAGATGGGGACTATATATGGAGAGTGGAGTGTAGTGGAGTGTAGTGGAGTGTGGGACATAAATAATAAAAATTCAGCAAGAGCAGCACAAAATTGCCAATGCACCAAAACGGCCATAAATGTCAGGCCAACTAGGCAATGGCGCCCCCAGAGTATCTCCTTTGCCTCTCTCGTTGACTCCCCCCTTTACCATGTGTTTCTCCTCCTCTTCCTCCTGCTCCTCCTCCTGCTCCTCCTCCTGCTCCATGCAGAGGCAGCTATGTTAACTTTATTTGACTTTATTAACCCATTTTGAAGGCATCGAAAAACGGTGACCAGCAAATTAATTGGAATTCTCACATTGGGGAATTTCATTGTCTGATTTTTCATGGCCCCCAGTTTATATACATATTATGTACATATATGTACATATATTCATTTGTACATAGGTACATCTATATATCTTTATATAGTCACATGTCCAAACACCACGTGTGCTTGGCCACCAGAGGCACTGAAGCCATTTGCATTTTGTGCATTGATTAAAGTGGGGCATTAAGAGGAAAGGGAAACGGAAACAGAAACAAAATGGGGAGAAAACTTTAATTTCCAACGAGAAGTTTTGAGAGCAAGAAGAAAGAGAAGGAAGTATAGAAATATACGAATTTTAAGCAACGAAAAGGAATTATAAAACCAACGAGAAAGATTTTAAGTAAAGAAAAGACTGTAAATAAGGTAAAGTAGGTAAACGAGAAGTATAAAAGTAGCGAAAAATATATAAACAACGAGAAGGATTTTAGGAAGAATAATTATTTAACAAACTAGAATTATGTAAGCTAAAAAAGCTTGTAAAAAAACGAGAAGAATTTAAACAACGAAAAAATAATAAGTCTAACGAAAAATATTTAAAAACATGGAATAGTGCAACTAACGAGTGGAATGCAAGCAGCGAGTAGAATGCCAGAAATTACAAGAATGCAAGAAATAAAAGAAATGCAAGAAATAAGAAGAATGCAAGCAGCTAGAAAGCAAAGAAAACTTAAATGTTAAATATATTATAAAATATAAATTATAAAAGCAAGAATAAGGCTGTAAACAACGAGTAGCAAAAAGTCTCAGTGTTGGGCAATGCAAAAACCAAACTCGTTAGTGTTGCATACAGCAAAATGAAGCATTTAAAGAGGGGTTATATATATAAAACCCCCAAAGTATTAACAATTTAACTAGCTAAACATGGACAAATAAATCCATTTCTAAACTCACATTCAACCCAGACTCGCTGACCGTACTTACTCATATAAAACCCCATGTAAGAGCCACACAAAAAATATCATTTACCCAGAACATTTACGAGCCCCCCGGCTGCTCCTGATGCTGATGCTGCTTGTACCTCGCAAATTTTTGGACTAAACCAATTAATTTGGTTCGCTGAGTGGCGCCAGCAGAAACACAAACACACGGAAAGAAAAAAAAAATATAGACGAGACGCGACGCGACGAGAGATGACCAGGAAACCCCTATAAACACCCACTCTACTCCGGGGTCTAAAAGGGGAATCTCTCGTGCAACTTTCGGGGTCGACGCAGTTGATTTAAGCAAATAGAATTTCCAGCGAGTGAGGAGGGTCGGGCCATGTGACTGGCGTCAGGTGGCCAGCAGCAGCAGCAGCAGCAGCAAAGGAGCTCAATGGGGTTAAGTCGCAGATGGAGGGGTTAAAGGTTGAAGTGGGCGTGGCCGGCAGACGTGGCAAAGTAATTAGCGGCCGTCGCGCCACAGACAGAAACTATAAATCAACTTTTCACTCTTTTTTTTTCTCCCCCCCGCTTCCTTATTTCTTTTACTCGTTTCCCCCTAGCAGCGTCTTTTGTGGAGCCATATCTCGCTTTTTGCACAGTGTCTCGGGTGTCAGAGGTTACGGCGGGGGGCTGAGAGGGGGTTAAAAAAGGAGTTAATGGCGGAAAAGGTGGAACAAGGGTGTCGGTGTCGGTGTCGTTGTCCGTGTCTGTTGCGTGGGCGTGGCAGCGATAAGCGGCGCCCGGAGTTCGCTTTACTTTAGACTGTTTATCGAACAAACAATGTCATCATAAATATGCGTCCCGAGCAGAAAACCCAGGGGCAGCACAGCCCTAGGAGAGCACGGGTGCGGCCACAGATAGCAGAAGCAATAAGGGAGGGGTAAGGGTGGGGGTAGAGGAGGGTCTCCCTTTGAAGGATATCAGTAACGGCCTAGGCAAGCAGCTAAAGCTATTGGGTTAAAGGTTTTTCCTAAGAAATATATAAATCTAGTATGACTTGCCTCTGGTTTCTTTTAAGGGAAAAATTTTATAAAATATTTTTTAAATATTTTAAATATTTTATAAATATTTAAAGAGTTTTTTTATGGTTTAAAATATTTACATTTATTAAAAACTTAAACTAAAATTGCCCTACAAAAGTTTGTATATCTAAAAATATTACAAATATTTTTTAAAACTTAAAAATATTTTTTAAATATTTTAAATATCTAAAAAATATATCAAATATTTATAAAATATTTTAAAAATTTATTTGAAATATTTCAAATATTTATTTTATATATATTTCGAAAAATATACCAATTATCCTAATAAATTTCCACCAATTTCCACTAATTTTCCTTGATTTCCCTTGATTTCCCTCTCTCCTACAGCTCCCAGACCTGCGAATGTGCCATTGGAGGCGGCAGCAATGGCAGCTCTGCCTCCTCCGGCGTGGGCGTGGCTAGTGGTGGTGCCTATTCCACAACGGTTAATCCCACGCGGCCCAATGGCGGCACCACGCCCACCACACCGGCTGGAGGAAACGGAAGCGGAAACGGAAATGGCAACGCTTCGTCGGCAGGCGCATCAGGCGCCGCCGGCAGTGGTTCCAGTGGCTCCAATGGCGGCGCCTGCATCTGTGCCGGCGGCATTGCCCTCGGTGGTGCCTCCGGCTCTGGCACGAACTCGGGATCGGGCAACGGTGGCGGTGGCACCTTGGCCAGCATTGTCGGTGGCGGCGGTCTAATGTCCACGGGACCCACCACAACCACCACGGTGCTGCTGGGCGCCAAGACAACGGCATCGGGCATTGGCGGTGGAGCGGCCACGCTGAACGACGATGGAACGCTGAGCAATGCGGAGACGCTGCTCTCATCGAATGCCCGCTTCCAGGCCATATCCGCCATTGCGGTGGCTCAGGATGGAGTTATCAATGTGGCCGATCAGGGTGAGTGCAGATTTTTTTTACTATTTATTTTATATTTTTAAGGACTTTGAAATTTTGAATATGATATGATATGAGTTAGAGTTCTTTTTTATTTTTTATTAAATAGAAGCAAGCTACATTTTTACTTTTATAAAATTATTAAATATAAATTGGCTGATAAAAATATATTTTAAAGCTTAAAAATACAAAGACAGTGTTGTTTAGCAAAATTACTGTCTAAGCTAGTGTTGGAAAGGGAAATAATAACGTAAATGTATGTAGAAAATTAATAGAATATTTATAGAAAATCTATAGAAAAATTAGATCTCGAAATTAAAGTTTTATATATTTTAGAAAAGGGTTTAAAACGAAGCCTTAAGGTATATAAAATATATTTAAATATTTTTTCTCGATGGTTCAGTATTGGAAACACAATTTGATAAGAAAACTAGAGGCAATGATTAATATTACAAAATCAGCTTTTGGAAAGCTAAAAAATGTCAATGAATTTACCTATAATTTGTTGGCATTCGAACTTTCTAAGAATTTATATACAAAAATATATAGATTTATATAAAAGAAATATATATGCATATCCCCCAACCCTACCATATGGCCTTGCCAGTATCCCGACAACAACTGTCATCCGATACAGCAAATTTGTCATCTTCTTCTTTTGGGTGTTCATAAAAAGAAAATATATATACATATATATACAAAAGTATATATATCTATGTGTGTGTGTGACACACACAATGGCACAACAATCGCATGGAAAATGGAACATTTCCTTTTGGCAAATTTTCTTCAACTCGCACTCGTACTTATTTCTTCCCTATTTTTTCCCCCTCACTTTTCGCATTGTTGCTGTGTTAACAAGCGGCAAAGAAAGGGAGCACAAAAATAAAATACGAAAATAAATAAATAAATAGAAAATGTTAACTGCTGGCAGCAAAAAGGAAGAAAGCAGAGGAAAAATACGAAACCGGAAGTTAAATTTCGACATATTGCAAAACACAACCACAGCAAATACAATAATAATAATGACAACAACAGGCAAGGCAGGCGGAAATACAGGGAAAGTTGGGTACAGGGAAACTGAAGGGAAATGTTACTAAAAAGGGATTTTAATTTAATAATAATAAATTAATAATATATAAGAAATTTTATAGCTTGGGAATTAAATATGGAAAAATATTAAATTAAATTACATTAAAATCAATAATGAAATCACTAAATATGTGAAAATATGAAATATATTTAATTTATGGTTTCAAATATTTAATTTATAAAATCTTAAGCTGGAGAGTCTCTAGAGAGTTTCTTAAATATTTTCCATGATTTTTTCAAGTTTTAAATATATATTTTTTTAATTTTCTAAAAATTTTCTTAAATATTTCTCTTTATTTTTTCAAGTCTGAAATATTTTCCAAGACTTTCTAGAATCTCTTAAATGTTTCCCTTGAATATTTTTTTTTTTAGATTTTCTTTGACTCTATCAATCTTAAATAATTTTTAAAATTTCCTATAGAGTTTCTTAAATATATCTCCCCTGAGTTTTTCAAGTCTTAAATATTTCTCAATATTTTCCAGAGTTTCTTAAATATTTCCTTTGACTTTTTCAAGTCCTTAATATTTTTTAAAATTTTTTAGAGAGTTTCTTAAATATTTATATTGAAAAAATAAGTCTTTAATATTTTTTACATTTACTAGAGAGTTTCTTGAATATTTCCCTTAATCTTTTCAATTTGAAATATTTTTAAAAATTTTCTAAAAATTTTCTTAAATATTTCTCTTTATTTTTTCAAGTCTAAAATTTTTTTTTTAGATTTTTCAGCATTTCTTAAATATTTTTCTAGATTATTTCAAGTCTTAAATATATTTTTTTTAATTTCTATAGAGTTTCTTAAATATCTCCCCTGATTTTTTAAATTCTTAAGATTTTCTAGAACCAAACCCTTTTCCACATTTTCTTGGCTAACAATCTTCCCCGAAAAAAGGGTGGTTCACTCTACAAGAGTCTGCACTGTGACAACAAAAGTTGAACAATGGCACAAGCTGTCGAAGGAACAAGCAATTGTTGTTGTAATTGGCCATTACAGACGGGAAAAGTGTGTATATGTGGGAGTAGGAAAAGTGGGAGGTGCCAGCGCGGATAGGAGGGGGTGAAAAGGGAGGAGAGTAGGTAGGAGGAAAAGGAAAAGAGCGAAACCAATTTCCGTTACAATTCGAACGAGGACAAATTAGGAGCCACTCGTACACACACACACACACATTTTAGCACACACACCCCAATTCTGCCCCCAGGTAAAGTTGAAGAAACACAAAACAAAATGGCCGCCAATAAATTGTGTAAAAGCAAAAGCTCAAAAAAGCACGGAAGGTATAAATTTGAGTGCATTAGCAGAGCGTAATTTGATAAGACCAAAAACGTAATTAATAAATTTCCACAGCCTGGCAGGAGGAGGAGGAGGAAGAGGATGAGGCAGCAGAGGGGGAGAACTGGACAAAGGGGTGGATTTTCCGATGTATTTTCGGTTGGGATATTTTTTGGGGGGAAGCAGAAATTAATGAAAAGGAAGCCAGGATGAGGAGAGATGAAGCCGTGGAAAGCAAATCAATGGCCATAATTAATCAAGTTTTAGTCTCTGTGCGTCGCTGGTGATGATGGTGGCGGAGTTGGGGGGTGGCACACGTGTGACTGATTGCCCAAAAGCACTGAAAGAAATAATATTTAATAAGGGAAATCTAGAAGAAAATTCTTAATAATATAAATAATATTTTCTTACTCCAAAAATACATTAAAAACTAATCATTTCCTTGCAAATTTAGTTTTCCAGAAATTAAGCAAGTCGTTAGCTTTCTTTTTCTCAGTGTTTATTTGAGTGTGAAAAGCGAAAAAGTGAAAATCAATCTTATTACCTACGCGGCAGCCAGAATTGGTAGAACTTTTTCCCTGGGAAAAGGGAAAGGGAAATGGTATGGGTTTTCCTTCCCCTTCCTCCTTCCTTCAATACATTAATCACAGCTGTAGGTGTGTGTGTCTGTGTATGTAAGCAGACAAGACACATACAAATGCAAGAACGCCAAAAAAAAAAAAAGGAAAAGAAAAAGAAAAAGAAAGAAACGTAAATAAGCTTCATTAGCAGCTCGCCAACCTTAAGTGGCCTTCTCTCCATCCGTGCGAGAGTGTGTGAAAAATTATTGCATTAATTGCTATGCCAGGAAAAGCACAAAAAAAAAGGAAAGCTAAAAATATCTAGAGGTAAAGAGAGAGAGAGAGCGTAAAAAGAAAAGGAAATTATCTAAAATTAGCTAATAAATTAGGAGTTGAGAGAGAAAAAGAGACTAAAGAAGGGTTCTATAATTTCCCTATAAAATTCCTTAAAATAAATATAATTATATAAAACTTATTTCAAATATTTTCCAAGAAATATTAGAAGAAGAAATATAAAAAAAAGAAACTAAGAAGGGTTCTAAATTTCCCATCATAAAATATATTTAAATGTATATAAACTCATTTCAAATATTTCCTAAGAAATATTTAACACATCCCTAAAACACTTTTAATCAACTCACAATCCACTCTGTCTTGTTGAGCCTCCGTTTTATCTTGATTTTGGGCTATCTTCCCCACATATCCTTTTATTATCGATGGCTGGGAATGCTAGCGGTTCTTCAAAAGGACTTGGCAAATATAAACCAAGGACCCCTTTTCGATTCCAAGTCCAAGTCCCTCCATCGATATCAATTTCGCCAGCGATTTGGACATATGCCAGCTAGCCATGACGACGACGACTGTTTAAAGCTCAAAGGACAATTGCAGTACACATTCCAAGGGGGGGCGAGGTGCTCTCCTCGCGCAGCAAACATTCGGCGACACAATGGCAACAACCCTTTGCACTGGGCACAAACAAGTTGTTCAGTTTATGGGGTCATTACCATTACATTACATTACAGCCACCCTCACAACACCCTCTTTGGAGGGGTGTATAGAGGGTCTGTGTGTGTGTGTGTGTGTGTGCGCGGAGGCGGTGGCCAACCTCCAGCTGAGCGTCACACATTTATTGCATTGAAATTCGCTCAATCGCTGGCCTGGCGCCCTGCCAATTCGAATGCCAATGCCCCAGCTTCCAGTTGCTAGAACCCAAGGTTCCTACACTGATTGAAATATCAAAGAACTTGGTTGGGAATTTGGTGTATTTTATGGGAATATTAATTATATTGTATATTAAAGGGAATATGATGGGAAATGGGTTTTAAAATTCGATTTTTATTGTTAAAGCCAACTTTTGAGTACAGGAAAGTGAATACTAAAATGAATAGTACGAAATGAATACAGGGAAATTATTAAAATTAATAATAGAAATTGAATATCAAAGGAAATTGACACAAAAAAGAACAGGGAAATTAGTACTTTTAAAATGGAAGGAATATAGATGAATTTTAGAAAATTAGTAGCAAAACAATTAATATTTAAACATGAATACAAAAAAATGAACAACAAGAAAATGAATAACAAAGAAAGGAACTCCTTAAAATAAATAAAGAAAAATAATTAAGAGGAAAAGTGAACTGCCCAAAATAAATACAAGACCCTACACTTTACTCTCTCAGTGCATCAGCGAAAACCCGAAACCAAAATGCTCCTCTAAAATGAGACCATAATGGCTTACGCTCCAACTACCGAGGGTCCTGTTGGGGTGTGTGTGTGGGTTGACTAGAGAAATGGGTAAAATGGGGAAAGAGAAAAGGGGGACTTGGAGTTTTGGAGGATGGAAATAGCTGCGAGTACTGGGTGGGAGGGGTAGTAGGTCCTGATGTGGGCGGTCATGTGTCTCCTGGTCTCGCGACGCGTATCCTTGCCTGGGTCCTCGGTCCTCGGTCCTCGGTCTACGGTCCCCGGGTAAATGAACTGTAACGCAATCAAATCAACACTGGCCGCACCGCAAGCCAAATAAGGACTAAAGCCCGCAATGTATTTAATATTTTTTATTGTGATGTGTGCGAAAGAGAGGACACACACACACACGCACACATGATTCGCAATCAGCGGTGAATTGTTGCATACAATAATTGTGTGAAATTGATGTTTATGATGGCCACAAGAAGAAGAAGTAGTTGCGGGGTAGGGTTTTCCCTCTGCCGGCTGAAGGGTGGCAGAATCTTTATAAACAGAGGTGGCGGGGTAAATTATAGAGAGTTTTCAGGGCAATTGTATAACCTCAAATTTTTGGTTTTGCCTGGAAAATCAAAGTAGAATCTTGGTTCATTTTAGGGGTTTATTAATTATAATTATGTGTTTTGATGGGATAAATATTTTATTTGTTTTTTTTAATAGAAGTTGATTTTGTGTTTTTCTAAATGAATAACTATTTTTTCTTTAGGTTATCTGAGATCCTTAGGTCTTTTTTATAGATTAATTAAATTTATTATATTTTCTTTTCAAGTTCCAAGTTTATTTTTAACATAATAATGTTACTTTTCCTTTATTATTTAAATTTTTTTACTAGTATAATTACATTTCTTATTTATTTTATTTATTTATTTTTCAAAGTGGTTAGCAAAAAATTCATAGCTCTCTTTTTGGGGCCCTCTGAGTGACCGCAAGTCCTGTGGCATTTATGGCTGCTATTACTAGGTACTTGCAAGAGCAAATGATGTAAAGTTAATGTGTTCCCCTAGTTTACACACTCACACCCCTTGAACACCCCCGTCTTACCACCCCTCCGCCACTTAGTTTCTCACACAAAAACGTTGTCATCATCATCGCCTTTTGTTGCTGTCGTCTGTTTGCAATGCAAAGCCTGAAGGGCTGTCCCGGGATGAGAGGTGTTGAAATAAAACTAAAGACAAGGTACAGGGTACAGGGGGGGAGGGGAGGGGAGGATGCCAAGGAGGAGACCAAGGGGGAACCCAAAGGCAGGGCAAATTTATGCAAATCCAAAGCGATTTTCAACACTAACTAAAATGAAACGAGCAACGGAGAGCCACCAGAAGCAAATTGCACAAAAATACTTAAGACACTCGAACGTACACACACACACACACACACACACATTTTTGTATTTGTGCATTTGCAGTGATTCAAAACTTGAAACGTTTTATTATGGTGGCAAGGAGCTAGGGAAAAGGCAGGGAAAATGATGGGGAAAATGCAGGGAAAAGTGCAGGGAAAATGCAGAACACACCCCCTCGAAGGCAAGGCCAGGGCATGGAGGTACTAAAAACAAACAGCTGCAGGAACTTGGCGTTTAGCTTAAGCAAATGATCAACAAACCGAAGAGAAGCTGAATATATATATATATATTATGGCAAAAGTTGTTGGTGTTGCTGTTCGAGGAAGTGCGAATAAATTTGATGACCAGTTAAAAGGAATTGTCCAAGGAGTGCGCCCGGAATGAATAAATGAGTCAATTATCCAGCCAAGGACAACGAGTGTCCATCTTTACGGACTTCTTTACGGCTTTAAGGGGGGAAAATACCAAAAGAAAAGAAAGGAGGAAGGAAGGCAGGGTGTTCCCCCCAGGAAAGGTAATCAAATGCACCGAAAAACGTAAGCTTTTCCAGCGGCCACCCATTAAGCATTAAGCAGTAAATAAGGTTGATAAGCTCCTCCGGCTAAAGCCGAGCTCTAAAGTCTATTATATGTGTTAGTGTGTGTGTGTGTGTGCACTCTCTATGTGTAGTGAGAGCGTAAAAAACTTGGGGCCCCCAGTGTTGTTTACAGTCCAAGAGAACATTAAAAATTAACAAGCTGCTTTTGAAGGAACAGAAGCAGCTTGATTCTTTTTGTTTTGGCCAATTAATTTGTGAGTCTAGAAAGTGAATACAAATTAAACACTAGAAAATGAACATTGGGAAATGAATATGAGAAAAAAGCAAAGGGGAATATATATAAAATAATATCTATAAATTTATATGCAATATAAAAGAAGAAATTAACTTGGAACAAATAAAAATAATATCTATAAATCTATTTCCAAGTTACAAATTTAAAGAAAATGAAGACAAAGAAAGACTTAAAAAAACACTAAAATGAACACAAGAAAATAAATACCAATTGAATGAACACTTAAAAATGAACACAAGCAAACGAAAGGAGATTTTTTAAAAGATAAAAAAAAAATAAGGCTTTAAGAGAAAGATTTTATTTATAGGTGAAATATTTAACTATTATTTTAATTTATTATATTTTATTTATTTATAAAACTATAATTTAATTAATATATTTAACCTCCCCATTACTTAAACTCTCCCTTAATAATATCTTTCCCTCCCCTTTCTCATTCCAGGATCCCTTCACGTCCTGGCCCTGGAGCACTATCTACCCTCACACGACGAGAACGGCGAATTCCACATACCCTTCCCGCCCTCCAGCGAGATTTATGTCTTCAATCGGTACGGCCAGCATGTGGCCACCAAGGATCTGACCTCGGGCAAGACCCGCTACAGTTTCCTATACTCGAAAAACACCAGCTTCGGCCGTTTGTCCACCGTGACAGATGCCTCCGGCAACAAGATCCAGTTCCTGCGCGACTACAGCAACGTGGTAAGTTCCATTGAAAACACGCAAGACCACAAGTCCGAGATCCAGATCAATGGCATCGGCATCATGACCAAGCTGAGCGAGAAGGGTCGCCAGGAGATCGAGCTGGACTACGACAGCAACACGGGTCTGCTGAACTCGCGCTCCTCGGGCGGCGAGACCTACATCTACCAGTACGATGAGTTTGGCCGTGTCACCGGAATGATTCTGCCCAGCGGTGAGATTGTAAGGATCACCTCTCAGCTGGCGGACAGCCAGGGATTGACTGTGTACGTGCATGCCTCCGTGGAGTCGCTCTTCTCTCGGGAACGCATCTCCGGGGAGGCCAATGAGCTGCTTGTACTGGGCGGCGTTAGATCCACCTTCCTCAAGCGCGGACAGGCTCATGCGGATGCGGAACTCAAAGCCAACAATACCTTGGTCATCCATGGAGACAATGGCGTCGTGGTGGAGGCCTCAGCTGTGGCCAGGCATCCCCTGCTGGAGGCTGCTCTACCCGTGGAAGCTGAAATGCTGGCCATGTGGTCTCACCAGAGCGTCACCATGGGCGAAGGTCTGACCAACTCGATGTATTCGGTGTACAGTTTGGTGGGCGATGTGCGCAATCCCCAGCAGACGCTCAACCGCGAGATCTGGGTGAACCAATCCCGGGTCATTGGTGTGGAATTTGATCAGTTTACCAATCGGGAGACCTTCTACGATGCCCGCCGCACCCCCATACTGATTGTGGCCTACGACCAGTCGGGTCTGCCCAAGTCTTACTACCCCACGAATGGCTACCCGGTGAACATTACCTACGATCGCTTCAATCGCGTCGAGGGTTGGGCCTGGGGCCCTGCTGAGCTCAAGTACAGCTACGATCGTCACGGTTTGCTCTCGGAGATTACCTCGCAGCAGGATGGCATAGTGTCCTTTGTTTACAATGACTGGAATCTGGTCTCGGAAATAGGCCTGGCAAGTCAGCGGAAATTTGTGTTGCAATATGATGATGCTGGTGGTCTAAGGCATGTGGTTTTACCCTCTGGAACAAGGCATAGTTTCAGCATGCAGACTTCGATTGGTTTCATCAGGTGCACTTATACACCGCCCGGCAGCACGAGGGCCTACCTGCAGCACTACAGTCATGCGGGAGCTTTGCTACAGACCATTTTGCCTGGCGATGGAGCAAGGATAGTATATCGCTACAATGCCGCCGGTCAGCTTACAGAGGTGGTGCATGGAGATGGCCGAAGTGAATTCCAATACAACGAGGCCACTGGAATGCCCAGCACAGTTTCGCACACGGAGCGGGAGTTGGAGTATCGCTGGGACTTTGAATATGCTGCGGGATTACTGGCCGAGGAAAGGATTGACTATGTGGCCAAGACGGGGCTAAGCAATGCCAAATTTAGCTACGAATACGACTCACAATTGAGGGTGATTACACTCCAGGGAAGGATTGGTGGTCAGAGTCTACCCTCGCAGGCCTTTGCCTATGATTCGCGCACAGGAAGACCCAGCCTCATAGGACAGTTCCGTTACTCCCAACTGGCTCAAAACCAAACCCAGCTGCATGATGGCACGGCCAGCTTCACACGCACCGTGGATGGTCGCTTCCAGACCCAACGCATGGCCCTGGCCATACATCGTCTAGAGGTGTTCCGCATGGAGTTCTCCTACGGAGTGCATGGCCGTATCTCTCAAACTCGAACCTACACCAGAAATATGGCTGTAAATAGTTATACAAACGTGAAGAACTACACCTGGGACTGCGATGGACAGCTGGTGGGTGTGGAGGCCCAAGAACCCTGGGGCTTCCGTTACGATGACAATGGTAATCTCCTCTCGCTGACATACCGAGGCAACACCATACCCATGGAGTACAATGCCCAGGACAGGATCGTCAAGTTTGGCGAGGGGCAGTACAAGTACGATGCTCGGGGATTGGTGGCCCAGAATGCGCGCGAGGAGCGCTTCCACTACAATACACAGGGTCTGCTGGTGCGTGCCTCCAAGCGGGGACGCTTCGATGTCCGCTACTACTACGATCATCTCAAGCGGTTGACCACGCGCAAGGATAACTTTGGCAATGTCACCCAGTTCTTCTACACCAACCAGCAGCGTCCCTATGAGGTTAGCCAGATCTACTCGCCGCGAGATGGCAAGCTCATGTCGCTGACCTACGACGATGTGGGTCACCTCATCTACGCCCAGGTGTACCGCCACAAATACTACGTGGCCACGGATCAGAGTGGCACTCCCCTGATGCTCTTCAACCAGTATGGCGAGGGTATACGCGAGATTATGCGTTCGCCTTTCGGGCACATTGTCTACGATTCGAATCCGTATTTGTATCTCCCGATAGACTTTTGTGGCGGCATCTTGGACCAGGTAACCACACTGGTTCATATGGGTGATGGTAGGGTCTATGATCCCCTGATTGGCCAGTGGATGTCACCCGACTGGCAGCGAGTGGCCGAGAGGATCATCACACCCACAAGACTTCATCTGTATCGCTTCAATGGCAATGATCCCATCAATGTGGGTCACGAGCGTCACTATCCCCAAGATTTTGCCGCCTGGATGAAGACTTTGGGCTATAATGTGGGTAACCTAGTGCCACAGCTCTCGCGGGATTTGTGGCAGCCACCAGCGTTATGGGGACGTCCGCCCACCAATCCAGTGGCCTTGAATCTACGCCGACCCTTTGACAATATACCCACAATGGCCGTGGAGAGCGGCTTCCTGGCTCACCTCAATGTGCGTCGCATGTCGGACTTTGAGCAGCTTTCGGCGCCACCGAGATCAGCCTTGAAATGCGACGTTATGGATCCCTCGCCGCGCTCTATAGGATCGGATACAGAGCCGCCTTTTGGCAAGGGAATTGTGGTCTCACGAACAGCCGATGGACAGGCCATTGTGTCGAGTGTGCCAGCTGCCAATGCCATCTACAGGGATGTGTATACGAGTGTATTTAATCGCTCCAAGCTGCTGCCCTTCACCTTTGTGGTGCACAATGCCCAGCAGGATTCGTTCTTCTTTGTAAAGGAGGATGCCTGGCGGGCCACCGAGGACAGGCAGCAACTGAAGCGGCTCCAGGGACAGGTGAATACCACTTTCCATGAGATAACCCGTGAGCCAACGGTGGGCACACCAGCCTCGGCTTCAGCCTCATCATCGAGCAGCTCCTCCTCGTCTTCATCCTCGTCCTCCTCCTCCTCCTCGTCGTCGTCGGGCAACTACCTGGACGTGAAGATCCATGGAGCGCATGCCATCATCAATCTGAGATATGGCACCACGGTGGCCAAGGAGCAGCAGCGCCTAATGCATCATGCCAAGCTAACGGCGGTGCGCAAGGCGTGGCATCGCGAGAAGGAGGCCCTGCGCAGTGGCCTAACCACGGCGCTGGAGTGGAGCCAGCAGGAGAGCGAGGAGATTGTGAAGCAGAGTTATGCCAACAACTACGAGGGTGAGTACATCCACGATGTGGCCCTGTACCCGGAGCTGGCGGAGGATCCCTACAACATAAAGTTTGTGAAGAAGAAGGGAGCCACCGGCGGTGCGGCAGGTGTGCCGAATTCAAGAAGACGTCGTCGTCGATCTGTCGAAGAGGAGTCGCCGGCACCAGAGGCAGCGGAAACGGAAACGGAAGTCGACTGTTAGCTCGAGAAACTGTACTAAAAAGAAGAAGTAAAATGAGAAACAAAGTAAGTAGAAACAAGATAAAGCCGAACCCAAGAGCAAGCATAAGCGAGAGACGTAATTATTTATATAAATAGTACATATAGTACATCAAATCTATGTTATCGAAACAGTTTTTTGATGTCAAGGAGCATTATATATATATATACACGTATACATAACATATTTTTTTTTTTATTGTTAGCCACTATATATATATATATATATAGAACAAAAGAAAAGGAAGAGATGAGAAAAGAGAAAGAGAAAGCTAGAAGAAAGCCAGCCACATAATCTCATGTAGCTGCATGTGCGTCTTAAGTGTATATGTGTGTGTGTGTGTGTATGACAGATACAGAATATATATAGTAAATATATATAAAAGATAAAAAATAGAAGATAGCATAGTGTAGTAGTCATATATAAAGCATAAAGCGTACCATTTACACACAGACTCACCACAATAAGGATAGAACGAAAAGGGGAAGAATTGTAGAGAAGAAAGGTAGAAAAGAGGAAGGTAGAGAAGAGAGGTAAAGAAGAAAGGTAGAGAGAAGAAAGGTAGAGAGAAGAAAGGTAGAGAGAAGAAAGGTAGAGAGAAGAAAGGTAGAGAGAAGAAAGGTAGAGATAAGAAAGGTAGAGGGAAGAAAGGTAGAGGGAAGAAAGGTAGAGGGAAGAAGAAAAGAGAAAAGAAAGGTAGAGAGAAGAAAGGTAAAAGAGAAACGTAAAGAAGAATCGTGGAAAGAAACCACAGAGGAATGCAGAAGAAAGGCTTTTCTTTTTTCGTGGTACTCGAGCTTTTTGAGACTGGCATAGTTTTAAACATAAAAAAAAACCCACAAAAACACAGACACGAAAGACAGGAAACAGGACACTGGACACTCGAACGACTCGAACGAAGGACCCTTGAAGCGCTGATCCCGCAGAGCCGCCGCTAAAAGCCATTGCAGGGGGATGATGTGTGGCAAAATGTACATAAAATAAAGAAAAAAAGAGAGATAGAGAAGGCAGGCGGAAGCGGAAATGGATTCCAAAAGGACAGCCTAGACCAAAACACACACACACACACATAGAGACACTGAAAACAAAAGCAGGACTAAAACCGGATATCCGGTGGTTGCGGGAGATTTTTGCTTAGCGAAAGCTTTCTCTCATTTTTGCTTTGCTTAAAAAAAAAAGAAAAAGAAAAAAAGGAAAAGATAAACGTAATTATAAAGAGTGTTTTTTTTTTATTATCATAATAATTATAAATATATATAAATGGATATACATTAAATATAGGAAAACAACACACACACACATACACACACGTATTGAATATAGAATGAAAAACCTATAGCTATAAAGTCCTGATAGATAAGTTTAAGTTTTGTCCTTACTTAATTAACTAATTTATTCATTATTATTGTTCGTGTGCCGAGGCAAGGGCAACACACAATCCCAAAAAAAAAAAAAAAAGATTAAGGAAAAACAAGGAAAACTCTAAAAAAAAAAGAAAAGAGAGATAATCGTATAAATCGAATTAATTTTAATGATACATATTAATTATTGTATGGAATGTGAAATGTTTTGTTATTATTTGTAAGTCTGCTTCTTTGGAACCCAGCTCAATGCGGCCCACAATAAACTCCACAAAATACGATAAACAAACTGAATAAAGCTTAAAAAAAAAACAGTATTAAAAAAACAAACACAAGAACACGTAAAAGAAATTAAAACGACGACGATGATGATGATGATTTTCAGCCTGGAACTCGAGGGATCGTTGTTGAGCTCAAGTTCAATTTCCGTCCGCCAGACCTTGATTGAGATTGAGTCAGAGATAATGTTCAGGATCCAGCTGCAGATTGATTCCTCAATTAGATGCCAATTAATATCGAATTTGAGTCACACACAGACACAGACAGGACGACAGTACGACGAGTACGTTAGTTTTCGCTTCGCTTGAAAGCCCGAATTTTCACATTTGTTTTCCATGAATTGGTGCTTATCGAATTTATTGCCACAACTGTATTGTGTGTAGAGAGCTGCCTATAATATATATAGTTGCATACGATTGAACGTTTCCCCTTGCCTCCCCCCTCGCCCCTAACTTAGCGAATAAGCGATGAATTGCTAGTGGAAAACGTAGAAAATGAAAAAAGGAAAACAAAAGATTGCTGAATTAGTTGCGAAAAAGCAAGAAAACGAAATTTTATAAAAATTACACCAACTCGAAACGAACCCCGACCACATAAACGAGGCCAAAACGATAGATCAGTTGGGCTAGAAGAGAGGAAATGGGAAAAGTATCGAACGAAGAGAGAGAGAGTAGCGAACGAAGAGAGAAGACAGAGAGTTTCTACAGAAGAGAGAGTCAGCCAAGTAGAACGCAGCTTAGAGCAGAGTGACTGTGTCCGTGTGATTGTCCGCTGGCGTGTCCACCCAAGGGAGAAAGTGTCCGCCCAAGCGAGAGAGAGTGTCCGTGTGAGTGCGATAGCGTTATATCAAAAAAAAAAAAAACAAAGAGAAGTAAAAGTTGCTGGCGTATCTGTGTATATACATTAAGGCTAATCAAGGTAAACTAGTGTTATATCGTATATGGCACCGTGCATCGTAATCCCTAGATATACATATATATATCTAAAATATAAAACCTAGAGGCACACACATACACAGGGAGTGTGGGCAATTTTTTTTTGGCTTTTTTTTTTCCTCCATCGTTGTCGCGCCTAACTAGATGTAAAATAAAACGAGACAAACTAACGGATATGATATCTATAGCCTACATATAGAGAGTATATATGTAATATGTATAGGAGTATATATGTGTTAGATGTACGTGTGCGCGGGGGTACCACTGTACTTGCCGCTCGAATTTCTCCCATCTGGTTATTGATTCGTTTCCATTTCCGTTTCGTTGATTGGCAAACAAAAAAAAAAAACAAAAAAACAATTCGAAAAAGAGCAGGAGTCAGTTACCTATTAGAATTTGGCAAGCATTAAACGAAAAAAAAGCGAGAAATAAAATTGCTTCAAAAGCAAAAAAAAAAAAAAATAAAAGTATATATACAAAAAAAAGGCACACACACTAAAATTAAAAACAAAATATTATGGAAAAACAATGGCTTGAAAAACGGAGAAAAACCGAACCGCAGACGCAGCAACAAATATTTATATGTACATAACACTGAAAAAAAACAACCAAGTATTTTAGTATATTTATGTTAGAGCTACACGAAACGAACTTCAACTTGAGCCTAGGCAAAGGGGGAAGTAACATACACCTAAACCTAAATCTAAACTAAACTTAAACTAAAGCTAAAGTCGGGGATGGCAGAGGAAAATACTTAGCAAATAAAGAAACAGGGAAACAATTGAGATAAATTAACATTTAAACGTTTTGCACACACCACAAACAAAATAAACAAAAGCTACGGAGAAAATACATACGAACAGGTACACAGATACAGGAAACCGAAACAGATACAAGAAACAAGATACAGATACAAAATACAGATACAAAATACAGATACAAGATACAGATACAAAATACAGATACAAGATACAGCTACAGATGCAGCTACAGATGCAGCTACAAAATCATCTTCAGATACATCTACAGATACACCTTCAGATACATCTACAAATACACCTTCAGATACACCTTCAGATACTAGACACTTACAGATAACACAGACAGGACACACTGACGACGCGCAAAGCAAACAACAAAATTTAGCAACAACAAGAATTTATGAGATATAATAAACAAATAAACAAAAAAATATAATAATATAAACGAACAACAACCAAACAAGAGGCAGCAATAGCAGCCAAGGCAAGTCGAAAGATACTTATTAAAAACAAGAGAAAAGAAAGCAAAAACAAGAAAGTAAAAAAGAACAAATTATATTTATTAGACAAAATAGCAGAGACAGAACGGATGAGATAGAGAGAGAGAGAGCGCGGCAACCTTAAGAATCTGTAGTATATCGAACTATGTAATTCACAAAATAGTAAATAAACCGAGGCCAGACCGGGAGAGCAACCTAAGGCATATTGTAGGGCAAATTCAAACTAAAAAAAAAAAACTATGAAATATAAAGCGGAAAACAAACCCCCAACCTTTCCCACTACTTTTTTTTTTTGTGTCTGTGTAAGCTTAGTGGAGAATTCAAAAACAGAAAAGTGCTAACGATAAAGGATAAACGATTAAAAACGATTAACGATTAACGATAACCGCCATTTCCCAGTCCCAGTCCCTTCGCCCCCCTAGGCATATGCATATATAGTATATATATATCTAAAACGGTAAATGAACAATTATATATGGCATTATATTACCAACACACACACACACAACAGAACAGTAAAGAAAATGACATCAAATAAAAGGATAATTACGATAATTACGATAATTATTGCAATAATGATAATGATATACCGTATATGTAATGATTTCAACGCAAAAACGAGAATATTTTAAGCGTATTAAGTTGAACTATATATTATATATGAAATAATATATATATATATAAATGGAGAAAAAAACAAGTGCGACAAGCGATAAAAATAAACCAAAAAACAAAAAAAAAAAAAAAAAAAACAACACACGCAACACAACTTCTGAGGATATCAAGGGTCTAAGAATAAATAAAAACTAATGAATTAATTAAAAATAAATAAATGAATATGAAAACTAAATGTGAAGCCATAAACATGTGTTTTTATTCAAGGTTGTAAGGGAGACTTGAGGCACTTATTATATTTTTCACAATTCTTTTTTTATTTTATTATTTTTTATTATGTATTATTTATTATAATTTAATTTTATTTAATATTATTTAATAATATTTAATAATATTTATTAATTTTTTAATATTATTTAATATTATTTATTATTATTTTGTATTATTTTTTATCATTTTTTATTATTTTTCAGTATTATTTATTATTATTTTTGATTATTAATTATTGTTAATTATTTATTTATTAAATATTTATTGTTCTTTATCAATTATTTATTATTTTTTTTTTTATTTTGTATTATTTTTTATTATTTTTTATTAATTATTTAATATCTTCCATTATTCTTTAAAGTGTCATTAGAAGGTTAAGATTATTTTCAGCTTATGGAACTCTCTGTGTAATCGAGAAATCGCCGAGCTGCAGCCCCAATCTTCTCCAAGGAAGTTAAGCCCCCGAAATGCATACATAATAATCATCCAGGCTGCCGTTTGCTGTTGCTGTTGCCGTTGCTGTCTTGGCCAGAGCGTTGACACACATGCATGCCAAATGAGTTTCGGGGCCAAAAGATTTGGCCAAAGGAGGAGGAGGAGAAGCGCCCAGCTGCACTAGATTTGAGTGAAATGTTGCTACTTCTGGGTGGCTGCTGCTGCTGCTGCTGCTGCTGGCAGGGCTCTTGGCCCGGCTTCTGCTCCTCCATCTTCATCTCCATCTCCATCTCCATTTCCAGCTCGCATCTGCAGCTGCAGCTGTAGTTAAATATTCAAATTTATACAAAGCATCTTCAGGTGCTCGTTGAGCAGTTGTGTGCTGCCTGTTTGCCA